TGCACTATTTTCAATTGTCTTTTTATTTGTTATATAGGCATATACATGTACTGGCCAGTCTCCATTTCAATGAGAATGTTAAAAGAAAAACAAAGAAAACTAAGGATGGCAAGAGTTACATCAATGTAACATATCCAAAGTTCAAAATGGGTGATGAAGTTCTACGCGAAGTTGCAGAGCCCCCCACTTATTGTAAGGTCTTTTTCTTAACCAGACTATCCACCCTAACGCTCACTGACACACCCTACATTATCATTTTATTCTGTCTAATGCCAGACAATTTTACCTATCAAAGAAGGATTGCTAGCACTTGATGTGACACAGTTACAGTTCTGTATGCAGTGTAATGCATGTAATGTATGCATGGAAATACGATGAACCTACCATACTGCAATGGTGCTAATGTATTCAGCAATAACAGTTTGTCATATTGTTCGGTTCTGTCTGAGCCATGACAAGCTGCCCACAGCCTACCATGACGTTCGGGCACAAACGTACTCAATTTTATATACTGTTATGAAAACTACTTTCCAGGTTATGTTGAAAAGATCAAAGAAATGATGTTCACCACGTCAAAAGAAGAGAGAGAAAAGATCAAGAAAAAGTTTAAAGCAAAATGCCCGGAACCTTTGAACAGACAATTTCCTGAGAGAGCAACAAAACAAGATGCCATAGAAAATGATGGTTTGAGGAAACGGAAGATTGCCCAACTATTCCCACCAGGTAAATCATGTATACAATTAATCTATTCAAACTTGTCATATATTTAATCTAAAAAGGGTTAGAAAATGGACAAATTAGTAAAAATTAAAATGTCTATTTCTTATTATATAGGTGAAGATCAAGAAAAAGAAAAGGAGAAAGAACAAGAGCCTCCAACCAAAAAAACACGTTGCCTCCAACCAAAAAAACACGTTGCTGCAAAAAATGTAAACAAGCAATGAAAGGACATCCCAGGTCACACTGTCCTACTCCAGAGTAATGTAACACTCCTGGTCACTGGTCAGGTTGTTGGAAGCATATTAAGATAGCACTAACCATTGAATGCAAATGAGAGACAGTTCAAACAGCCACATTGATTTTGTTAAACTACATGATATGATAAACAATATTTCAAATGTTCTGCTAGTGACTGCTGATCTCTTTCTAATGTTGTGATAAACACAGGCAGCCAGTGGTCGGGTATTTTCCCAGCCCATCTCACCGAATAGCCATCTTGCAAGCCAACGATATGCAACTACCGGGTGTCCCAAAAAGAAGTACTCCTGTTTGATTCGTAATAACTCCTAAACAAGTAGAGCTTTTAAAGAGAAATAACTTGCATTCAAGAGAGGAAGGACTAACTTAGATTTTGATATATTACAGTTGTATTTTACTTAAAAAGTCACGGAGATATCAATGTTCAAAATCGGGAGCATATTTTGGGATGTGTCTAAAATTAGCGAAAATCGGCATATCAAATATTAATTCCAGCGTTTGTTTGCTTAATGACATATCCGGCTAACTTGTATAATTTTCAGCGAATTGTCGTTAGGGTTTGTAAGGGATATGGCATATAGATTTAGACATCTTACATGTAAGTTTTAGCTCATTGTTTCCTGAAATATGAACTTCGAAATTATGCAAGTATTTAATAGGTCTTTACAAACTTAAAGGTACATGAAAGACAATGGAAGGCAGGCGCTTAAATTTTTCTTAAATAGCATAATTTTTTTATGTTTTTAATGGGTTCAAACAGACTGAGTGGATTATTTCTCGATTAGAGCAGGATGAATATTATTCTTTATTGAAAGAAGTAATATTGGTTTTTGCAAATACGCATCACCGCGTATATCAATGCTATACTATTTTGTTACGTTTTATTCCAAAAATGTTGCATGTCTCTGGGGAGTTGCTTGATTGTTATAATGTCTTATGAAGTTGTATGGTTTGATTGTGTTTCATATAATTCTCAGTTTTCTCTGAACTTGCCAAGATTAAGAAAAGGCAAAAGAGTTTGGGTGTTCTTAACAAGATTTCAGAACGTTGCAGAAGTTAGAAGAGCTTCACAATTCCATTGTGACAGCATGCCCTAATTCAGAACTACCAACGATCGATGACGATTCTTCGCGATGCAGTGGTCTCATGAAATAAGGAAACGTATTCGTGCTAGGAACACACGCGAATTTCGGACGAATAAATCTTGCTTGTATTTTGTACATATAATAATACTTTGTTTCATAATAAACAATTTGTCAAGTGTCATTTATTTACTGGCAATAGTGCATGTTTCAGTCGGGCAAATCTTGATTAATATTTGATACACCGTTTTTTGCATGTTTCAGACACATCGAGAAATATGCTCCCGATTTTAAACATTAATATCTCCGTGAATTTTAAGTGAAATACAACTGTAATATATCAAAATCTAAGTTAATCCTTCCTCTATTTGATGCAAGTTATTTCGTTTTAAAAGCTTTACTTGTTTAGAAGTTATTACGAATCAAACAGGAGTACTTTTTTGGGGGAAACCCGGTACACGTAAAAGTAAAAAAGTTGTCAATGGCACCATAAAACCGTTCAGTCACAAATACTTACACTCAGATGAAGCAATATTATATTGTAACTGTGACAATACCTGCAGTATGTATGGGGGATTGTAACAACCAAATAATTTTTAAATTGCCAGATATTAACTTGACCCTTTGTTTATAAATCAAATAAAGTTATGATGGTCTCTTTGTATAAGTCAAAACCTGTGGCATTTTGGATTTTTGGTAAACTATAATATTGTTTTATACCTCTATTTAGCTTGAGTTTATTATAAGCATCAAACATAAACAAGCATTACATTTTACAAGAGGCATACTGTCACTGTCATTATAAAATGCTCATGAGAATTTGTTCATTGTGGTCAAGATTTATTTCCTCGTGTCCTTTAATACTACAGTAAATACTTACTCGTTTTCTGTGTGGCCATACTTGTTGTAGCGCCTATCACTTTTAGTTTTGAGCAAAGGACCAACTTGTAACAGGACTGTTTTATTAGTCAAGGGATCGAAATCTACATGGCTGGTTATACACATGGCGTCTAACCCTTTAAATGTACATTTTCCTGTCGCTTCGATAATTTCTTTACAGCAGCGATATTCACGAGACCCAACAAGCAACGAATCGTTGCAGTTCCCACATTTGCACCTACACAAATACAGTATATTTATCGAGATTATTTATAATACTGCTGAGCAGCATTACATTCAAGCATTGCACGAACTCATGGATATAACGGCATCATTTGCATCATTTCATATTAAAATACACATTCGAAGGCTTACCAGCTTTGTACTGGCACAACCTTTTCATATCGCTGCTCTAAAACCTCCCTTAGAATACCATCCTCGTCTTCTTCATCGTCTTCACTGGTATCAATGTCTTCGCTGCCAGAAGAAGCAAGTGGCTCACCTTGATAAGGCAAAAAGTTGCCCTCAAATACGAATTCATCGCTGTCATCGTCGCCGCTGTCACAAGTTGACTTGTTTTTAGATAGATCTTCACTTAAAGCGTCCATATTTGATTCTAAATTAAATCGGACACTTTTAGCAAAAATAGCAGCAACAATTATCGAACGTGTGTAGACATTTATAAATACGGAATGTTCAAAACAACAAAACACGACTCTAACCAGTGACGTCATCATGTCACAAAACTCGGTCCCAGACTTCGGACGTATAATTGGTCAAAAAATGCCACTTTCAGAGTAAAAAAAGGCACTTTCTATATCACTATGTCAAAAACGGATTAGCTCACGATATTCAGCGTAAAAAACTCCATCAGAATATCCCAAAAAAAAGGGACCTGAAAATTTCGTTTCATAAACACTTTAACAGAACAATACTACAATGGAATAATCTGCCTAGTCATATCAAGTCATCGAACTCTTGCGCTATATTCAAATCCAAACTATATACTCATTCTCTTAATAAACTAAACTCGGACTCTGATGTTGAGCGTCCAAGGACATGGAAAACTATTTGCTTGAAATGTCGCTCGAGCAATATCACCTGCTGTTCGTAGCTGGTCTGGTGTTAAATAGCGAGGTTTTTGGGTTTGATTTCCGGTACCATCATCACCACCTCGCGCTGACCTAGTTTGCATGTAAGTGGTTAGTGGTTCCAACTAGTGATGATGGTGGTGGTGGTCAAATCTGAATCTCGCGAATAATTTTGATAGTGTAGTGTTTATTCTTGCATGTTTATATTGTAAAATACGTGTTGTTACGACTAAAGTCTGGTGTAAAATGGCTGGAGTCACTTTTGATTTCCATTACCGCTATCACTACCTCGCGCTGACCTGGTTTGCATGTAAGTGCTAAGTGGTTTCTAACTAGTGGTGGCGGTGGTGGTGGTGGGCGTCAAAACTGAACCTCACAAATAATTTCACAGTAGTGTAGTTATGTATTTATTCTTGCATGTTTTATATAGTATAAAGGCCTGTAAAATCAGTATTTACGTTGTCCAGTTTGCAGTCCGTAATATGTCGTGTTTTAGTTTTAGATGGATGGACTTAGTATGGGATTCTAGTTCTGTTGTCCAATCCTTCAATCATAGCTGTATGTGTATTTTTTATATAATATGATTGTAAGTCAATAAAAAAAAAATTAAAAATATTATTGTAGCAATTACAATTATAGCAATGCAATCATAAAAATTGCATTAGCACTTTAAAACTCGTCTTTCTTTGACAGTAATCCACATAATTAGAACGGAATTCTACTACTCGAAATTCATTCTGTTACTGTTACTCCTGTTTCTTCTTGTCATTCCAATGTTAATACACCGTGGTTTACATGGCGAATATGGATTCGATGTTCATGACTTCAGTATTCTTAATATTGGTATAATTCCTTTTATTTGCGTATTTCTGTTGAGAGGCAATCGGTTGGGTTTGCGTATTTTAGCAACAGTTTGGCAACCGGGATAGTTTTAGACTATCTTTCTAATTTTACATTGGAGCAGTTATGAAGGGAAAAAGGATTTTGCTATGTACGGGATTTTTGTAATATAATTTTCCTGAGAGAATTTGTTACATGGACCATAAATGAATCCGCCAACGCATCAGCAGCGTAAGGTCTATCATTAATGTTATGACTGATCAACCATGAAATGAATTTCCGAACTTGAAGATCGCGAAGCATGTCCAAGTTAACAGGAGATCCTTTTGAGATGTTTATCATTCGTTCAAGCGCAGGACCAAAAGGATGCTCACCTTTGGTTGAAATATAGAAAGCGATCATACCTGCGACCTGAACATCAGATTTCTTTTTAAAACGTCCTTTCTCTTCTTGATATATTGCTTCAATTACTTCGGCTGGCATCCAGTCTCGGGTTCCCTTCGCACCTGTATGAACTGTGGTTTCTTCTTCATTCAAAACACGACTTATTCCGAAGTCTGCCAATCTCATGTGACCTTCGAGATCAACCAAGACATTTGATGGTTTAAGATCTCTGTGCAAAATTTTTCGACTGTGAAGAAATTCAATTCCGCTTAAGATGTCTTTAATCATTCTTGGACCACGATCTTGCAGATATTCCAATCTTTGAGTACGAACGTGTTCTGTCAATGTTTCTTCGTAGAGATCTAAAACTATATATACAAAAGTGGCATCTTCTAAACATTTTCGATAGCTTACTATAAATGGTGACTTGCTTGCATCAATTCGACTCAGAATTTCTAGCTCATTTTTAGCTGTGTCTTCAAACTCTTGTTTTAAGATCCTCTTCACAGCCACTTCAGCACCATCTTCCAAGATACCAACATAAACAACACCCATTGAACCTTTGCCAAGTTTCAAAGACTTCTGAGGTGAAAAATACTTCACAGGCGGTCCAACCTATGGTACAAAAAAGAATTTTTTTATCAATATGACTGACGAATGAAATAGTTCTACATCGAGTATGGTTTTGAATTCAGAATTATTTCCGCTGGAGCATGAAAAGATACATAATTATGTAACCAAGTTAAGAAATTTCCCAACTGTCCCTTGAAAGAAGTAATGTTGATTGATTTGTAGCCATTCATTTGAAAATGAATATAAGAAAGATGAAAAGTATTTGTTTGGTGTAAATTATTAGATGCTAATAATATGATGAAAGAAAGCAAAAATGCATTGTTCTATTGGTGATAAATTTTAGGTAAACAATTAATATTATTGAATCGCCTGGCCAAAAGTTGAAGTCATGGACCTGCAATATAATTCAGCAATTTTGCGAATGATGTGATTGAAATCTTGAGACAAAACACAATAAAAATATGAAACGGGCACTCGATTAAACGGACAACACCGCAACACGGTATGCTCCACATTATCTGCCCTTTTAAGCCAACATTAATAACCAATAAATAGACAATTTTTCTCTGCATGCAACAAAAAATATAATATTACCTTTGTCAAGTTTACGTTGTCTATTCCTTTCAAAATCTGAATTTTTTCTCGATGTTTAAGGGACTTCTTTAAATCCACATTCAAAATATTTATGATCTCGTCATTGCCACATATTAATGGTTCCTTCTCTTTTTGTATATCAACGTTATATTTCAGTAATATTTGAACTACAGTGGTGTGACCTTTCCGGCACGCTATACGTAAAGGAGATTGCAATTTCCAGTTATTCATGTCTTTAATCGCTCCATGTTGGAGAAGGTAGTCAACAATAGTAGGATTTCCATCTTCACAAGCCAGAAATAGAATTGCGCGCATGTCAAGATTTTCTTCATTTGTTAGTTCAGCACCATGTTCAACTAAGTATTTAACCATTTCCAATGAACCAAACTGAGCAGCATTGTGAATTACATCAGCACCATGTTCAACTAAATATTTGACAATTTCCAGTGAACCAGATGATGTTGCAGAGTGAAGAGGACTACCAACACGACCATTTTCACAATTTACATCAGCATTATGTTCAACTAAATATTTGACAATTTCCAGTGAGCCAGATGATGCTGCAGAGTGAAGAGGACTACCAACGACCAAGGTCTTCAAATTTACATTAGCACCATGTTCAACTAAATATTTGACAATTTCCAGTGTACCAGATGATGCTGCAGAGCGAAGGGGGCTACCCACGAGCGAGGTATTCAAATTTACATTAGCACCATGTTCAACTAAATATTTGATAATTTCCAGTGAACCAGATGATGCTGCAGTGTGAAGAGGACTACCAACACGACCATTTTCACAATTTACATCAGCATTATGTTCAAATAAATATTTGACAATTTCCAGTGAACCAGATGATGCTGCAGAATGAAGGGGACTACCAACTTGAAATTTACATTAGCACCATGTTCAACTAAATATTTGACAATTTCCAGTGAAGCAGATGATGCTGCACAGTGAAGAGGACTACCAACGAACGAGGTATTCAAATTTACATTAGCACCGTGTTCAACTAAATATTTGAGAATTTCCAGTGAACCAGATGATGCTGCAGAGTGAAGAGGACTACCAACATGTTCAATTTCACAATTTACATCACCATTATGTTCAACTAAATATTTGACAATTTCCAGTGAACCAGATGATGCTGCAGAGTGAAGAGGACTGCCAACACGATAATTTTCAAAAGTTACGTCAGCATTATGTTCAACTAAATATTTGACAATTTTCAGTGAAGCAAATGATGCTGCAGAGTGAATAGCAGTACCAACGATCAAGCTATTCAAATTTACATTAGCACCATGTTCAACCAAATATTTGACAATTTCCAGTGAAGCAGATGATGCTGCAGAGTGAAGAGCAGTACCAACGATCGAGCTATTCAAATTTACATTAGCACCATGTTCAACCAAATATTTGACAATTTCCAGTGAACCAGATGATGCTGCAGTGTGAAGAGGACTATCACTTCTGGAGGCATATAAATTTACATCAGCACCGTGTTCAACTAAATATTTGACAATTTCCAGTGAACCAGATAATACCGCACTGTAAAGAGGATGATAAGCGTAATGATTTTTGCCATTCACATCAACACCATGTTAAACTAACTGTTTTACTTTGTGAAAATTTCTTTTTTCCGCTGTTGTCAGAAGATCAAACACATTTCCAGACCTATTAATTTAAAACAAAGCTAATTATGCAATGAATGAATTTTTCTATAGTCATAGATCATTACAACACTAAGAACACTGGTATTATGATGCACATTGGTATTATAGCAAATTGTGAATCAGTTTAATATTTTAATTTCTGACACTACTATGGTTCAATTTTATACTTCAATTTTATACTTCGGACTGTTGTTTGGAATGCTCTGTTGCTCGATGGCATGGTTGATATCAATAAATTTTCTTATTATACATTTAATATGTATTCTCGTTTCTAATTGGTCAGAAAGCACCGGCTAATTTTCAGTATTCGGCATTTATTACGTATTTTCCGCCCATGACGTCATCAGCGTCCAATAATTGTTTTTTTGGATCGAACTTGCATCCAAAAAAAAAATTATTGGACTCTCTCGTGCCCAAACCCTTGCGCGGCCAAAAGCTTTAACCTAAAGCGCGGGGAAAAAAACAAACAATGGCCAGCAGCAGATTTGCTTCGCTGAATGAAAGTGAACTCTCCAAATTATTGGCAGATAAGGATAGTGAAAGCACGAAAAAACCCACAAAGGGGTAAATAGAAGTAGAAATATAATATTTAGCTGACCTTTGACTTTGTGCAAGGTGTTTGATATTCAAATTGTACTTTTCCTACCTCATGAACAGGAATCGTTTTATACGTTTCTCATGTCTTTAAATGTATAATAAAACAATTATTGGATTCTGCTTTCGCATGATATCAAGAATTATTCAGACCTCGGTCTATGTTATCCGCCTCAGCTTCGCTTCGGCAGATAACATTGACATCGGTCTGAATAATTCTTGATATCATGCTCAGCCTCATCCAATAATTGCTTATTATTAATAACTTAGGTGTACAGAAATCAATGGCCGTCAAGGACTATTACAACTGTCCTATTCACATTTTTTCACGTTACATATTATACAATTACTTTATGGTTTCCGTGTTTGGATGGCCTGATCCAAACACGCGGGAATGTTGCGAGAGTTAAGAAAAGCGAGCGAAATCACGAGCCGAAGGCGAGTGATTTTGCCCGCTTTTCTTAACTCAAGCAACATTCCCAAGTGTTTCGATCAGTCCATCCAAACACGGAAACCATAAAGTAATTGTTTTATAAAATAACAACAACACGGTAGTCTTCCGTGTTTGGATGGCCTGGTCCAAACACGGCTTTCGACCAATCAGAATACGCGTTATATACATGTTATTTTATAATATTATTTAATGTTATTGGTAATCGATATTTTAGCATTGTTATTTTTCTAAAAAATACAGTAACCAAACGACTAACATATAAAAAAATAATACTGTAAAACTTGCTTTCTATCACGTCCTGTGTATTTTAGTGTATACTACAGTTTTCCAATATTAAACTAAGATATTTATACGAACAACAATGAACTAAACTATTACCAATTAATTACAGGGAAATGAGGCAAATATTTTACTAATTACATTAAGTTCCCTGATATTATCGGAACGTTTATTCTCATTTCAAATTTTAGCAGCAATATCTAAAGAATTCATCAATTAGGGTAGCCACAATCTCAGCATATTGGGGGAGGAAGGACAAGGAGCTTATTAAGATTTGAGAATTAATGTAGAATTGAAATACATTTATTCCGATATCTGTTAAATTTTTGAAGAAGTGACTAGTAAACATAATTCTGGCTATAATGATCACTTGTAAAGATGATATTTTTTTGTCTTGCTATGAAAAAATTACACATTTTATACCTTTGCTTAAAATGCGTGAAATCGTCTATCATAGGCCCATGAATAATAAAAATATTTCCGGTGGTTCATGCCTTACAGTTACGGCCTTCCTTGGAGAGCCCAGAACTTGTTATAATCTTAGGACTACACCATTGTATTGTTATTACCTCGGGTCGGTACGACACCGAGGTCTTAAATTCGGCTCCTATTTTTTTTTTCTTGTTTTTTTTTTGTTTTTCATTTGTGTCGAGCCGCGCGCGTAGTCGAAGATCGAAGGGCCTGCGGAGGAGACGACAACTTCCGGTAAATAAGTGTACTTCCGGCAAGCATCGGCCAAAACGAAACGGAACCCGAAGCTGTCCTTGCACAAAATCCGTCAGAATTGTTGATTTAAAAACAGAAGATGTGATAATTTTGACATACATGTTTAGCTGGACAACTATTCTCTAGTATACAGTATGTTGATATAATGTACAATACATCGTATGCATAGCATGGGAATACCGCGGCCAACTTTCACTTGTTATCTATTTTATAATTACTGACCCGAATCATAATTATTTTCGGCTGGAAGACTACTGTACGTTGCTGCTTGTCGGGACCGTATGACAATGAACCTATCTAACGTTACACTAGACATTTGTGAGGACATGCATATACACATAACCATAGGCACTGTAGTGCATTGTGATAGAACAGATTTCAGTTTAATTAATCGCCCTAAATTAAAATCTCCACAAGCGGAGGTCAATTATAGTGTTCTAGTTTACATATTATCATTAATGATAAGGTTTACTCAAATAGCGTATTGGATAAACACGGGAATAGAACTTATGGTGTATTCTGCACATGCGTATATCTAGGATAAAATCCCACAAGCGCAAACGAAACTATTTCTCTATAAAATTGAACTGAAAAGACTCACAGCGACCGTTTCCAACAGTGCTTCAGGCACAGAGCTTCCACTCGGAAGGAAATTTCCTTCCAAAAGGATATTTTGGCATTTGGAAGGAAAAATAAAAGGAAATAAGATTTGGAAGGAAATTGGAAGGAAATTTTACAATTTAAACTTTTTCAGTAATTTCTAGTAATTTATATGATTAAACACTTTATTATGAACTTTTGAGTTCAAAAACATATATAAAAATAATACTCCGGACATTTAAATAACCATCAAGGGTGAATGGGGGTAATTCGGGACTTAACAGGTCTTCAGTGAGTAAGTGAGTACTGAGTAGAGTACTTGTACATAAATAACGGGGGCTCAATTTTTTCGCGGGTTTTTAATTTTTATATCCCAAAATTAAAGAACAATTAAACAGTCGGAAAAAGGGAAACTGTAAATTTGTAAACCAAAAAAAGTAATTTATAAATTATGATGGCTCATATTGAGTCGACACCTAGTCAAGCTCATCAGAAGATGAAGCTTCAAGTACTTTTCAAATGCAAACGGTGTAGAAAGCGTGCAGGACAAGTGCCTTGTCCAAAAGCAAATTCATAAAAAAGTCGTTCAAGTACTATGTCGTTCGAGAAAACAGACAAAAAATGAGACAACAGAACATGTTTTTTCAGGTTAAATTAGAGATTCACTATTTGAATACTGCAGTACACCTTCAATTTACATCGGGAGTACAGTACAATACAAAATTTTCTATACTATTTTAAACTGACATTGGAAGGAAAAATGGAAGGAAATTTAAAATTTTGGGAAGGAAATTTTGCGAAAAAAAAGGACAAAAACGAGAAATTTTGCTTTGCCAAAGTGGAAGCACTGTTCAGGCACCCGACGACACCGTATGGGGGGCCTTTAGCACTGTCACCTTCTCATCTTGGGATGTTCACGTTATCGCGTGTACATGTCAGGGTGACGAAGATGCATTATT